CAAAATTTCAAATGTTTGATAATTAATTTAACTAATTAAATTAATTAGTAATGTCTTGGACTATCCAAGCCCATTACAATGAACCATGCGCCCTCCACCCCTTTAGGTGGAGTTCCAAACAACTTCTTGGGCTAATAACTATTATTAGGCCCAATACCTTTAATGCTAGAGCATCTAGACAATTAGGTGTTTGTGTGTGACCTATTAGGTCCAACTTAGCCACTGACATAAATGGGCTTGGGCCCAATAAGCCCACAACCCATCTAATGACAACACAGAGCACTAGCAATGCTTTGTTGCCCCAGAACTAGTTAGATTAATGATTTGATCATCCTATTAAACATATTTGGTTGCCGTATATATTTCCTTTCGTCTCGGTTACCTTCCCATAAAACCTAGGGTAAGGAAGCGTATCAACCCCTGCGGTTTAGGGTAAGCTTTATTCGAAATAGGGAATCTTCAATTTACAGACTCTAAAGGCAGATCATCTCATGATCTCTTTTACTATGCATAGATTCCCGAGTCCCTGTAAATGTCATCCTGATTTCTCCGGTTTACGGATAACCTAATCTCTCACAGAGATTTGACGAATTCTTTCAGCTTATCACCCTAGCCCTGTGTTCTTTCAGGACAAGCCCAACAGTATACCTATGAGTCTCCATGTTTCAGGCAGACGAGGTGCACAATCAAAGCATGCCTTCTAGAACACAGTCTAGGTAACAACTTCTGGTCTTAGGAAAGACATACCCAAATATAAAGAGACTACTCTAATGATACTCTCTGTGAGAGTTCCTCATAGAGTCTCTTTGTGGGTCCGTTCAGTGCGAGCTATACCCTTATAGGTCCACCCACGACTTTAGCTAAGACATCTCCATATCTGTAGCACATGAGGTCTATACCTTGTATCCATATACAAATAGATAAGTCGTGCTAGTCTTACCCGAGATTACTGACCCCATTCTCAGTATCTCTAGACTAGGAACATAAAATTAGGAATGAACATCCGGTATTCTTGAATCCTCATGATTGTGATCTCATCACAGATACTCAAGAGATACCTATTTTATTCCACGGGGTTTATCAAGTTATTCATAATATATTAATATTAATATCGAGACATAATTATGAAACAAGATAAAGAGTGCTTTTATTTATTTGCGACAATATTAAAAAAGGTCTACATCTCTGTCCCTATTTAATCATAAGATGTTCTCTAGGACACCCAAATACTAACATCACCCTCTTCTGTCCAGGTTAGCTCACCTACTTCAGATCAATCTTCATCATAGGTCCATTCAGGTCGGTCCTCCTACTCATCATCTTCTTTATCCTCATCACCTTCTGAATATCAGCCTTCTTTTACTATTAGTCCTCCCCCTCCTACTCACTCTATTACCACTAGGTTAAAGACTCTATGTAGATCACTGGCTTTACTCACATACATGGAACCTACCACTATCAAACAAGCCTTGGCCAACCCTCAATGGCTGAAAGCTATGAAAGCAGAATTTCATGCTTTGCAAACTAATCAAACTTGGACTCTTGTATCTTTTCCATCTAACAGAAAAGCTATAGGATGCAAATGGGTGTTTAAACATGAAGGAGAACCCAGATGGGACAGTCAACAAGTATAAAGATCGACTTGTTGCTAAGGGATTTCGTCAGCAAGAAGGTTTTGACTATGCAGAAAACTTCTCCCCTGTTGTTCGGCCAGTAACAGTGAGGATTATGCCCACTCTTGCTCTCGCATTTGGTTGGCCACTAAGGCAACTAGATGAGAATAATGCATTTCTCAATGGGGACTTAGTTGAAGATGTGCACATACAACAACCCCGAGGATTTGAAGTTGCTAATAAAACACTGACTTGTGTTAGAGAAGTATATAAACTGTAAAGAACCATTTCAACCCAAAACCTTAACATGTTCGGTGAGGGCTTTTTTAATGGTTTGTATTATTTTCTAACACGTCCCCTCGCAAGAGAGCCTATTGGGCTTGAAAGGTTGGTGATGCATCAGGCCCAACCTACTTGTGCTAAGAAATTTCACAAAGAAAATGAGGGGTGGTGAGGATTGACAATTCAACTCAGAGGCTTAAGTTGTTAAGTGAAGACCCATCAATAGTTTATGTTAGAAAAAAATATAAACCATTAAAAAGGCTTTCACCCATCATCTTAAGGTTTTAAATTGAAATGGTTCTTTTCATGGTATCAGAGCCTCGGTGTCACGGGTTCGATCCTCACCCCCCTACTTTCTCTTGTGGAATTTCTTAGCACAGGTAGGTGGGCCTGTGCATTATCCACCCTTCATGCCCAGTGAGCTTTCGTGAGAAGTATATAAATCATTGATGGACATTCACTTGACAGCTTGAGTTTTGGGGTTGAATTGGCTCTTTACAGTTTGCATACTGAATACGGCTCTATATGGCCTTTAATAAGCTCCTAAAGCTTGGTTTGACAAGCTAAAACAGGCCCTGGTCCTTCTTGGCTTTCGGTCCAGCAGCTGTGACCAATCTCTTTTCATTTTTCGTCATGATAACAGATGTATATATGTCCTAGAATATGTTGATGATATTATTGCCACAAGAAATGGTACTCCTTTTATTCAGAATCCAATCACTGCCTTGAATTCCAAGTTTGCTCTTAAAGACCTTGGTGACTTGGAATATTTTTTGGGAATAGAGGTTAAGAAGCATCATTTTGGTCACATTTCTCTCTCTCAATCCAAATACATTTGGGATCTCTTAGCTCGAGCTAATATGTCTGATGCTAAAAGTATTGCCTCACCTATGGCTACTAGTTGCAAGTTAACAAAACATGGCTTCAATTACTTTGATAATCTTCATCACTATCGATCTATTGTGGGTGCACTGCAATATGCCACTAGTACTCGTCTAGAAATCAGCTTTGCTATCAACAATGTATGTCAATTCATGGCTCAACCCTTACTTGATCATTGCAATGTTGTTAAACGCATTCTAAGGTATCTGAAGGGGACTGTTACATATGGACTCATTCTTCAGCCAGCTCCTGCACACTGCCAACTCTCATTAACAGCCTTTTCTGATGCTCATTGGGCTAGTGATCCAGATGATCGTAGGTCTACATTAGGTGCCTGTCTTTTCCTTGGTCCCAACTTGGTGGTCCTAAAATCAGACTTTGGTGGCCAAATCTAGTACAGAGACCGAATACAGAAGTTTGGCCATAGCTTCAGCAGAAATTTTGTGGATTCAGTCCCTTCTTCGTGGCTTTCATATTCCCTTGGCTGCTCCTCAGGTTTATTGTGACAATCTTAGCACTGTTGCTCTATCTCATAATCTGGTTCTGCATACTAGAACCAAGCATATAGAGTTGGACATCTTCTTTGTCAGGGAACGAATTTTATCTTAAGATCTTCTTGTCTCTCATGTTCCTGCTTCAGAATAACTAGCTGATGTTGTTAGGACCCATTTGCAAGGTATGGGACTTGAAGTCCCACATTGGTTGTATGTGCAACTATGTGGGGTTTATAAGGCCTTGGGCACTCCCACCCTTTGAGTTAGCTTTTGGGGTGGTGCATCCCAAGGTTCTTATCAGATACCCTCACAAAGCCTTTATCTGCTCTCAAATTTGTTGATCTTAGGACCAAATTCAGTTCTCCAACTCCACAACTCATGAGTTTGAGGGGGCATATTAACATATAAATGCTTTGTAATTTGTATACTTGTATTACTCTATTATTAGTTAGTTTGTTGCTGTGCATTTGCTTATCATGGTGTGTATTACACCTGATCAGTCCCTTTATTGTTAGTTTGTTATCAGAGTTTGTTACTTGCTGAGTCAGTTTTTCTAGCTCTATAATAGAGCTCTCTGTGTATTTGTTTGTAACTTCAATAACATTTCAGAAATTCTTGAATGGCTTCTCTCTCACCTTTGTATTCATTTCTATTAGCCCCCATTCTACTAATGAAAATAATTAAAAGTTGTGGAGTTTCTTAGTACTAGTAGGCTGGGTCTAATGCATTATCTACCCTTCAAGCCCAGCGGGGTCTTGTGTGAGGGGGCATGTTAGATAAATATAAAACTATTAATGTAGGCTCACCCAATAGCTTAAGCTTTTGAGTCGAAATGGTTTTTTACAAAAGAGCTTAGGTAGAGACAATGGAAGAGAGATAAAATGAATACTCAATACAAGAAGATCATGTTGATATGGTGTGTAATAATGTGATACATAACGCAATGGTCCTACTTGTACTAATAATTAGGTCAAGAACTAGGGTATTATTACTAGTATAAGCGCAAGCCCACTAATATAATTAGACTACTAACCATAATTAAGGAAATAATTCTGGAAACATAATGAATGTGAAACTCCTCCGAAGATTGCTTCCTTAATTAGATGATTGATTGATTCCATAATATATTCCAAAGATATTCTAAGTTATTACATATATGTTAAGAAGATATGCTAAGATATTCTAATACATACCCATATTGTCACTTCTCTGCTTTAATATAATAGCTTTGTTTAAGATTGTGGTAAAGCCAAAAGCGAAGTACATATGACATGAGATATCAACTATCGAAGTTTCTGCATCTGATATAAGAACTGCAATCGATGTGGCTATGCAGAAAAGTTTTAGAATAAATCATAATTTTCAATTACTTATAGGAATGCCTTCTTTTCTCTCTTTAGTTAGCATTAGAGTTTAGGGATTTAATTATAAACTAAACCTCTAGATCTCATCTGGTATAATTAAAGAGTCACTTTTACCTCCATAGCCCTTTATACGATTCTTATCTTTCTAGTTAAATGGTTTGCCGCTCTTTTCAAGTTCAGTTAACAATATTTCCGAACATCTTTTCTTTTTCAATATTTCTTTTCGTTCTTAATTGTATATAACATGTCCCGATGTCAATACTGTTCGTGTTAAATATCATGTCTGAATTTGTTGTTGCAATATTTATTTTGTGTATGCCTCTATCTGCTCATAACAAGGCTTTGCTGATTCTGGTGATAGGAAAAGTCAAATGGGTCAAATCTAGGGGGACCAAGACAAAGAGCAGAAGCTTTGGCTGCCTTAAATTCAGCATTTAGTTCATCGTCTGGGAAAACGTCCAGTATGGTAAGGTTACTTGCTTATGAATGATTCACTAGCCTTTTTATTTTAAGATTTTGTTGTCAGTTACCTTTAAACCGAAAGCAGATTGCCCTGACTACGAGGGTATTACAAGGTATATAACCCAAGATTTGGATCCTTTGAAGTAAGGGGTGTACTTTGGAGAATAAAGTATAAGTCATAACCATTGATGGAAAACCAAGGGAGTGGATTCTCACATATGCACGATGATGGAACCCCTTTTTTATAAATCTGAAATTGCAGAAAATATAAAGGAAATATAGAAAATAAACCCCAAGAAAGCCTCAACTCCCCCTCAAACCAAATACCTAGGCTTAAGAGTTCCCTAGAGGTCTCTCATTTCCCCACTAACCACTTCTGAATACATGAATACCTCACACTCCCACACCCCTCCTTATATCCTATTATTTAGGAATATTCTAGAATAGTTTCCATAACCAACTAGCTAATTCACTAACTAACTTTGCATTGCTAAACTTGGGCCCACTAATCCTAGCCCATCAATACTCCTCATTCAAAATTCACCTTGTCCTCAAGGTGAGGAAGATGATAGGAGATGTAATTGAACATCCACCAGGATCCCATTGCTTGAAACAAATTCCCCTAATTATACTTGAAGCTGACACATTGCTTTTGTATCCAGTTGCGCCATTGCAATTTTTTGTGCCTTTGTTGTCTTCTAATGCTAAGTTTTCTTCCACATATTTGGGCACAAAATATGCTTTGTTTTCTTTTGCATTTTTGATCACTGAACAAGCTTCGTTTTCCTTGGACGTTCTGGCCATGCAATAAAGCCTAATTGAAGCATCATTAACCTCTTTGGGCCCATGCAGGTCTTGGACCATTATTAATTTCAGGACCCAATTATTAAATTTTATCACTACAAGTTTTGCTTGGTCCCATATACCTGCTGAAGTAATTTGAATTGATTGGATAAAGCCTATTTTGCTTCTTGTCAGCCACCACATCTTTTGGGCCAAGCCCAAAACGTTAAAATGGAAACCCATATGACAAAATTCCAAGTCTGCCCTTCCTCTCTTTCCATCTCCTTCAGCCCACTCAATCCCCATACGATGAGTGGTCCTATGCTTCCATTCGATCCCTCCCTCATCCAGCGGCCACTTCTGTTGCAAATTCTCAAGAATCAAACTGCCGTCTGTCGCTTGTGGACTTGCTGTCAACGACAGCAGTACAACCTTCTTCTTTATGCCGCTTTTACGTTGCTGATCTATCTCTTCTGCACCTTCATTTCCTTCTTCTTCTTCTTCCCTTTCTTTGGGTTGTCCCTGGTCAAGCACGTCTGACCAGCAGCATGTTTGCGTCAGTGATCTTCTCTGGTAAGCAGCAAAACCGATGGTCTGAAGTGCTTGTGTTGCCGCCCCTGTCTCCGTTCGTGGTCGTAGCCACAAGCGCGCAGTCTCCCTGTTAGTTCCAGATCTGTTCGCGCATGGTCTCCTTGTATCAGATCTGACTTCGTCTTCTTCTTCCTCTCCGTCTTCTTCATCTCCCTGCGCTTCTTTTCCTTTTTCTCCCATTTCTTCTGCATCTTCATTGTTGTTTCCTTGGCCTGCTCCTTCTTGGTTTCTTTCTTCTTCATTTTCTTCTTTCACTTCTTCGATTTCTACGATTTGGTTTTCAACCTCTGATTTTCCTTTTCCATCTCCATCTATTTCTTTTACTGCATTTTCATTTTCTTTTTCTTTTTCTTTTTCTTCTTTGTTGGTTGATGCTGTTGTGTCTTCATTTGCTTCTTCCTTTGCAATTTCAGCATCTTTTTCGATTATTTCTGCTCCTTCCTTTTCTGTTTTATCGATTCCTTCTTCTTCGTCGATTTTTTCTGCATCTTTGATTTCTTTTTCTTCAGCTTCTTCACCCTCTGTTCTTCCCTCGTCGTGCACTCCATCCAGAATTCGAATGTTGTAGCGCTGATCCATTACATCCTTGAGTCTCCGAATTGTTTTTTGCAATTGACGGATAACATCTTCCACTCCTCCCAATCTTTCTTCCCTCGCTCGATCCATGCTGCCTTTTGTGATTCTGTTTTTTTTTTTTTTTTTTTTGTCTGTGTGTATAGATCTGGATTAGAAGCACTCCCTAGATCGGAAATGCTCTGATACCAAATTGATGGAACCCCTTTTTTATAAATCTGAAATTGCAGAAAATATAAAGGAAATACAGAAAATAAACCCCAAGAAAGCCTCAACTCCCCCTCAAACCAAATACCTAGGCTTAAGAGTTCCCTAGAGGTCTCTCATTTCCCCACTAACCACTTCTGAATACATGCTTACCCTCAGAAAATTATAACAATGTATTTACTAAATCAAGAGATTACAAACACTAATTCAAGATAAAATGCAGAAATTAAACACCAAAAGACCTCACTCCCTCTCAAGCCAAATACCTAGGCCAAAGAGATCCCAAGAGATCCTTTCCCAAAATCCCCCCTCCAAATATTCTGAATACATGCTTACCCTCCCTACACACACAGCCTCCCTTTTATCCTATATTTTAGGAATATTCTAGAATAATTTCCCTAACAAACTAACTAATTCACTAACTTTTAAGCCCATAGCCCATCAATACTTCCCCTTTAAAATTCACCTTGTCCTCAAGGTGAGGGAAGAGGACACGTCATGTGAGAACTTCTACCGGGATCCCATTGTTTGAAGCACAGCCCATGACGTGATCTGTCTTGCAATTCTCGAATTCTTGCGCGATTGCCATTGCTAGCTGCACTCTCAACTGGTCGAACTTTTGTATAGCTAGAACTTGCTGCGGTAGGGTTTGATTTGGCCCCAATCTGATTTCTTGATGAATCTTGTCTAAGAGTTTGGGCAATATTAGTTTCGGGTCGTGGGTTATTTTGACCCGTTTGGCTACTAACAAATCTAGCCACATAAGACAAACCTCCTTTAATTGGGCCATTAGTTCCAATCAGCCCAATTGACAACCATTTAATTCCATTTCCTCCTAACCCATTCGTTTTGTGTTGGCCCATTTTGCCTGGCCCTTTGCATTCTGAATTATAACCCAGAGTGGGCTGTGTCTGAAAGTGGGTACTGGCCCCATTTGACAAAGCCACTAACAAGTGACCTTCAATTTCAGTCCCATATCCATAACTTGCCCAACCCGTTTCGGATCCGACCCGTGTCTTCTCCTGCTCCCTTTCTTCAACCTCTGTTCTTCTTTCTTCATCTCCATCTATTTCTTCTTTTTCTTCTTTCTCTACTTCTTCTGTTTCCTTGACCTTCGATTTCTCTATTTCTATTTTTTTTGTTTCTTCTATAATGTCATCTTCAGAGCTCCGCTCTGTCTTTACTTCGATCTCGTCTCCTTCTTCTATATCAGGTCCAATTTCAGTAAACCCACTTCGGCTCACCATAGTCATCGTCTTCCCCGTGACAATATTCTCTTCTTCAGTTCTCTGCGCAAGTGACATTACTTCTTCCATGCCATCCGCTCGATGCACCCAGATTGCAGCCTGTATTTCTTCATTCTTCTTCCCCTCTCCTTTCATGATTTGCTCCATCTCTAGTTTGGTTGTTGATTTCTTTTGCATTTCCTCCGTTTTTCTGTTTGGATTTGAGTCGCAATCTTTCTGTTCTGTTTTCTGTTCTTCTTTGTGTCGTTCTTTTTTTTCTCCTTATGTTTTTTCAGATCTGTCCCCTCTGTCTTCTTCATTTGTTTCTTCTTCTTTCAAGGTTTCTGACATCTGCGATTCTGTATCATCTACCAATAAAATTTCAGGTAAATATTTCTCAATAAACGCCTTCTCAAACTTCCTCCAGCTTGCTATAAGATTGAACCATTTCCAACTTTGATACCAGTTGAACGCACTTCCTCTGAGCCCTCTCACAGCTTCCTTGTATTTTTTATCTTCGTTGATTCCTTCGATCTGGAAATATTGTTCCAAATCGATCAACCATCCCCAAGCTTCGTAAGCTTCGCGATCTCCTCCTTCTCCAAAAAATTTTGGAACAACTGTGAATTTGTATTTCATTTTTTTTTTTCCAGATCTATGGCTCAAAGAGCACTCCCAGGATTGTAGTGCTTTGATACCAAATTGATGGAACGCAGAAAATTATAACAATGTATTTACTAAATCAAGAGATTACAAACTCTAATTCAAGATAAAATGTAGAAATTAAACACCAAAAGGCCTCACTCCCTCTCAAGCCAAATACCTAGGCCAAAGAGATCCCAAGAGATCCTTTCCTAAAACCCCCACTCCAAATATTCTGAATACATGCTTACCCTCCCTACACACACAGCCTCCCTTTTATCCTATATTTTAGGAATATTCTAGAATAATTTCCCTAACAAACTAACTAATTCACTAACTTTTAAGCCCATAGCCCATCACACGATTTGTTATATTGATGTTTGTATTTTATAAAATCCTAATCATTGTTTTTCTCATCAATGTTTATTAATTATGCACTTTACTCTATAAAGTGCACTACTCACTTTAGAGGATCTGAAACTTTTTTTTTTTTGGTAGAAGAGGATCTGAATACTTTAACCCATGCAGCATATTGTTTTGCTCCTTTCTTTTATGCTACATTTGGAGTTGAGGAATGAAAATCCATTCCATGTTTAATCTTCGAATTTGAGGATTCTCATGTTGTTAGCAGGAAAAATATTGAATGGCATTCATATTCTCAGTTTCATTCCACAAATTTATGGAATCACATTCCTCCACAAAGATGATATTGAGATTCAATATTTTTGTGGAGTAAGATTCCATATGTTTTTTTTCTTTCTAAAATGCCCTTCTTAAAGTTAAATTTGACATAATTTTTCAGATTTTCCACAATACCTAAAAATATATTGTGCCAATGTCATGAAGCATAAGGCCATGATAATAACATACTGTAAGGAAAGAAAAAAATAATATTAAAATTTCTTTTATTAAGTTGTAGAATCAACCTCGAATGTTGTTTTCAGCAAATACATATTGGTATATATGTATGTATGTATATGTATATGTATATATAAGGGCATATTGGTGAATGGAATATAATATAGAATGAACTCAAAACAAAGTGAATGACATGACTATAATAAAAATGAAAAACTTTTTCATTTTTATTAGGATCATTTACTTTTTCATTTTTATTAGTGTTATTTATGAAATTCACTTTATTTTGAGTTCATTCTATAATATTATACCATTCACCAAGCCGTGGAATCACTTTCTATGCCATTTTGTTTATCATATAAAATTATAGAGGTGGAATAGGACATTTTCATTTTTATTAGGGTTAGTTATGCCACTCACTTTATTTTGAGTTCATTCTATATTATATATCATTCACCAAGCTGCGGAATCACTTTCTATGCCATTTTGTTTATCATATGAAACTGTAGAAATGGAACAGGATTTGTGTCCAATTTACTATTTTCTTTTTCTTTCAATTCTATGGAATCCCATTCTTTGCACTAAACATAGGAAGTTTTTAATGTCAAATGGAAATATAGATTAGTTGGGTAGGCATATGTATTAGGTTCAGCTTTCTATTAAAAAAAATTAAAGAAGGAATACCAGATTTACATTGAATATAGAATCTCCAAATTCACTTTTAGACATCGAGAATTAAAAGATCCCACCTTGGGCTTCACTTGGAAAGTCAACTGATGCCATTGGGCCCTGAAAGCTAGAAATTCAATTAAGAATTTGAAGGTGTTTCCCCTGTAATTGAACCATAGGTTTAATTTTGGTGTCAATACAGCAATCTCTGCCAGTGAGATTGTTTTCCCCTGAAAATTGTATGTAATCCAGCTTTCAACTGAGAATGGATGCCTCTGCCAAGAAAAACATAGTTCTTAGGAGTTTAATATTTTACACCATCAAATCATCCAAGTTAACTAGCAAGGACTAAAGTAGTTATGCCATCGTCTTCAGTTAAAATATCTAGCTTTATCACCTCTACTATCCACTTGATGCCACATTACATTGGATCTTAGGGCCAAAAGAATAGTGCCTCTGCTTCATGTAGGCATTTATCGAGTTGGACAGATACAGTATTCACTTCTAGCATTCCCTTTATTCTGTAAATGGAAGTTAGTTTTCTCATTCCTTTTTCTCTGTGAATGGATCACAGAGAATAGATTCATACCCAAGTGGCTTTGTCATATTTAAGAGCGCTCATCTGTGTTGCATTCTGAAGATTGCTCCTTTATTTATTTACTTTTTTTTACGTACATTATTTCTTCTGTGTTTTTGTGTTGCTTTGGTAATGTGGTTTCCCTTTATTCAATTATAACCCCTGACCCAATTAATCCTCTGCACTTTCATAGGCTCAGGATAGATTAAATGGGTTAAACCAAGGAGGACCAAGACAAAGAGCCGAAGCTTTAGCTGCTTTAAACTCTGCATTTAATTCATCATCTGGGGCAAAGACGACTTCTCCTATGTCATCTGGAAAAAGTCAAGGATCACAAAGAGCAGCAGCGGTTGCTGCTCTTTCATCAGTTCTTACCGCTGAAAAGGGGAAAGATTCACCTGATGCTTCGCCTTTGGCAACCAGCAGTCCTTTAGAAGAAAGTAGCTTTACTGGTAAGAAATAATGTTCTCATAACCTAAGTGCATGTGGCATACACAGAATACCCCAACTGGTTCTCTGTGTGTCTATTTTTTGCACAAAATACCACAACAGGTTTGCTGGGTTAAATATTTCACAACACCTTACTACTATTTTTTTGTGTTTCTCTTTTAATAAGTAAGTAGATCCTTTTTGTTCGATTGTAGTTATAATATATTGTTGAATCATAATGACCTTGTTTTCCAATAAAGTACCAAAAGTGTTTTGACCTTGTTCAAATAAACTACCAAAAATGTTTTCCAAAAAAAAAATTAAACTACCAAAAGTGGAGATATAAGCAATGCATTGTACCGCAGTTTCGGAACACCTTGAAAACCCCTCGCCTTTTGAGATTTAAGAGAAGAAACACATACAGATTTATTAACTCTATATATGCTTTTTCTTTCCCTCCGGAGGATAATCTTTAAAGACAAATGTAATTGTTGCATTAAAAAGAAAATACTTGTTTTTTGTTTGTACTATTATTGCCGTGTGCTTCTGATCATTTTAAAAGTTGGAGTTCTTGTTGCAGAAGCTAAAAGTGAAAGTGCCTATTCTGAAATGGAAGAAGCTGCAGAAGCCAAGGAAACACAGGAACTTGCCCCTGAAAGTGGTAGCAATGGGGATTTGGAACCGAAACAAGAAAATGTGGAGGATGGAAATGATAGTCAAAGGACTTTCAGTTATGATCAATTAAAGACTAAATCTGGTAAAAATGTGTCTGGCATTGATCCTAAACGGAGAGAGGTTCGTCTTGCTTTGTATTGATTTGATATTATATTAATTTAGTTTGAAATATATATATATATATATGGAAAAATGTTTCTCCTGCCACAGGACATAAAGTTATATCCTGCAACCGCAAACCTATGTTGTTTTAAGGGATTAGGGAGTTAATGAAGGATATTTTAGGAATTTTGTTTGTTTCTTTGTTTTATATATATATATATATATATATATATATATATATATATGATCCTTTGACATTGACATCGAATCCTAACCATTGATTTGTGCCAATCAACAATTATCATTTATTGGGAATTAATGATCAATTAATAAGTTTGATTGGCAGAAATCAACGGTCAGGATTTGGTCTCAAATTTTAAAGTTTGACATCAGTGTCAAAGGATCCTGTCCTATATATATATATATATATATATATATATATATATATATAGAGGTAGGATTCTTTGACACCGGTGTCAAATTTGAAATTTGACACCTCATCTGAGAGCCGTTAGATAAAAAAATATTAACGGTGTCACATGCTCACAAATCAGAGCCATTGATCTTTTTTAATCTAACGGCTCTCAGATGAGGTGTCAAATTTCAAATTTGACACTGGTGTCAAAAGATCCTGCCTCTATATATATATATATATATATATATATATATATATATATATTTGAATTATTACAAAATCTTAAAACGGGACAAATTACAAGCGTCTCATGAATTTTCCCACCCCTCTAATTTCATTAAATCACCTTTTAATTGTATCCCATTTTGGGAGTTATTTGTAGTATTTCAAATTCTCGAGGCGCAGGTATATGATTTTCCTTATAAGTTCTATGCTTTGGATTGAGGTAACTTGTTTCTTTCTTCTCTACTTGTTGGACAGGCCTATTTGTCGGATGAAGAGTTCAAAACTGTATTTGGAATGGCAAAAGAAGCATTCTATAAATTACCAAGATGGAAGCAAGACATGCTGAAAAAGAAATTCGAATTGTTCTAAGACTTGATACAATCAGTAACATGTCTGCTTCTTTTAGCTACGCTTCCTTTCCTCAGTTATCTTGAAATGCACTTATCGGTTGGTTGGAAAGTGTGGTTTTATTGGTATACCATACAGCGTTGTGGTTTTGGCATATAATGGACGCAGTTGTGGTTAGTGTCCAAGTTTGAATGTGACACTGCATAGAGAGTGCTTTTTAGTTTCTCCTTTTAAATTGCTTCTGCAATGTTTGCATATTATAGATTTGTAGCAATGAAGACACTAGACAGTGGACAGGTCCAATTCTTTCATTTTGTCTACATATGTATTCTAATTACGTGGTTTTTTCCTTCTTGTTATTGGTTAGAAAGGAGGGTGTATATGTATTGTATTGCATTTTATACTGAATCCCAATATAATGCAAACCAAAAAAGAAGTTTGTTTGTTATTTTTTTACTTTGAATTATGTAAATGTTGTTATCTGCTCTCTTTTTTTGGTAAATAAAAGGCCTAAGCCCAAACAAACAAAAGAGAAAACAGACAGAAAGAACACCTAAGGACTACAAACCACCTCACGTGGTCTACAAACAGAAGCCAAATCTGCAAGCAACAAAAAATAAACACCAGAAGGAGGATCCCACCAAACTCTTTTATCAGGCTGCTCTTGATCATCAAGTAAAAAATTGGCCAACCAATCAGCAACAGTATTGCCTTCTCGAAATGTATGACGAAAAGAAACTGTCCAATCTTTCTGAATCCAAATCTGTATGTGAGATATCAGATGACACTCACGGATTGCTATACCATTCATGGATAGCAGAGTGATTACACTAGAAGAATCACTTTCAATCATCACATTGCGATAGCCTGAGCTCCAAGCTATATCCAAACCCCTAAGCACCCCTCATAAAATTCAGCTCTGAAAGCATTACAAATACCCAATTGATAAGCATAACCACCCAACCATCTCCCATCGGCATCCCTCATCACACCACCATAAGCAGCAGAACCAGGATTACCACGAGGAGCACAATCAGAATTGATTTTAATCATACCATAATCAGGAAACTGCCATGAAATATCCAAAACCATAGTTCTTTTTTTCACATATTGATTTGATTGAGTAGAGCAAGCATGTTGAATATCATCAACAAGATTTCTAATAAACCTTACTCTTCTATCAATAATCGAAGGCATTGTAGAGCCATGACAAACTTCATTTCTCCACACCCAAAATTTCCAACAAGCTACAAAAAAGACGGACAACCAATTCAGCATAGTACTATTTGTAGACTGCAAATTATAATTAAAATGAAGCCAAGAGTCGAGATCTCCAAGAAAAAAACTATCACCATGCTCAGGTGGCACCAAGCACACCCAAACTGAATAGACATGCGAGCAATCCCTTAGGGAATGAAGGACAGTCTCTTTCTCAAATCCACAAATAGGACACAAATCATCACCATTACTCCAAAGAGCAGTTCTAGCCTTAGTTAGAAGCCTCCAATGCATAATCTTCCACATAAATTTTTTGACCCTTTGTGGACCAAACCACTGCCACAGATAAGATCAATTATGCCTAGTATTACCAACTGAACTAACCTGATCCAAAAGATAAGAATAAACAGCTTAATCCACGTCAGCCCAATCCAAACACGGCTACGGCCCAAAGGTCCAAGCCCAATCTCAACCCTCAATCCACGTCAGCCCTACCAGCTGGTGAGATCCCCCAACTCCCATCACGACTAGTCTCCCAAGGGGAAACACCAAAATGTCCTACCTTGAGACCGTAACCCCCAAAGGAAGTCGCCCCAGATGCCATAAGGGGAAACCGCCCTTTGTCCCACGCTGACATCGCCAGGCACAGGGGGTGCAGCGTTGCTATCACAGCAGCGTCTGGCACGCCCAGCACTGCAACCCCTAGCAGATCCCAAGGAGGGTTGACCCCCTCCACACCAACCCAAGCAAGATTCACACCACCTTTTCTATAAATAGCCCCCTGGGCACTTGAGGAAGGGATCTTATGTATCATTATTATGCTCATTTATATTAAGTCACATATACTCACACTGAATCATCCATTGTTATCTTCTTGCCATCATACTTGGAACAATGCTCTCTAGCTTGGTCTTTACCTCTGCTAGTGGCACCATCCATACAGTGACATCATCCCCAAAGGGAACATAGTGGGCTTATAGATCCCAACGGTACATTAGCGCCGTCTGTGGAAAACTATAAACTTCCATTCCCATTCTTCTACCAAAGATCTAAAGGAGGCATTTCACTTTTTGATAGCAAAACATGGTTGTCACGACAAGAAGAGCAGAACAAACTAGAGCCGTTACCCCTGAAGGTCATGCACAAACAGTTCATTCTAACTCTCCACCATCCATGCATTCAGCCCCAGCTGAACAAGCAGCCGGCGAGGCCCTTCCCCCGGTACTTCAATATGTTGGCCCACAGTTACCAGCAGCAGACGCTGGAGTAGCACAGGTGAATCGTCGCGTAGCCATACGCGAAATGCAAGGAGAGAACTTGATCCCAAATCAACCTCCACCACCAGGAGTTCGTTTTAGAATGCCACTCCCCATCCCTGGCCCACAAATTATCCCCCCAGCTTATCACCAACGACCAGCTAGAAGCCAGCTCGTCACTATGTACAACGACCATCGAGTTCAGGTGACCGCCCCATATCCCCCTGGACCTTACACCCACAATGTTGCTGCCCCTTACCCCCCCCCCCCCCCCACCTTTCCCTACTGGCTTTCCATTCCACGGTTACGCAATACTGCCCCATAATGCTATTATCCCACAACCCCAAGGATCAGGCATAAACCCAGGCTCGCCACAGTATGGCGCCCATCAAGCCCCAGCCCTTTCTTACTCTGTTGAGGCCCCCTAAGCACCACACCCCCCACCAGACCTACATGCACGTAACCCGAACTTAAGAGTAATACCTGCCAATACCTCAGGACGCAACAAACCCCTGACTGATAGTCTACGCCTAACGCCCATACCCTTCGGTTTCAAAGGGCCGTCAAATATCACAACGTATGTGGGCGACACTGATCCTTTCGAATGGATCCAGAAATTTGAGGCAGCAATGACCCTGCATGGCGAGACAGACCTCCTTATATGCAGTACTTTCCCTACACTCCTGGGGGGTAGAGTTTTGACATGGTACACCACTTTGCCAATAGGAAGTATAGCATCCTGGGATGATCTGGCCAACAAATTTCAGACCCATTTCGCAACAAGCCGCCCAGTGCCCAAGTCTGTACACGCCCTCGAAAAAATTCGACAACAATCAGGGGAACCCCACACATCTTTCCTGGACCGCTTCGACAAAGAGGCTCTTCAGGTGCAAGGCTTAGACCCTAAAGTACAGGTGCACATACTCTTGTCAGGCCTGCGCTAAGGGGCGTTCGCGTATGAGCTCGCCCGCCACGAAATTACTGACCTTGAAGAGGTCAAGAAAAAGGCTCAGGAATTCATGAGGATTGAAGAGTACAAGGGGAGTAGAGCCGACGACTCTCATAACCGAGAGAAGAAAGCCAACAAAAAAGACCATCAGGATGAAGAGAGGAGAGGTCACAAATCCTCCAAGTATTCCAGCCGCTCAGTTGGGCGTGATACCCAAAGATGCCAATCACACAGTGTCCTGCAAACTGAATACAAAGAGCGCAAGAGTAACCCGCAGCCCCAACAGCCAGACAGAGAGACCACTGTGTATTGCAAATTCCACTGTAGCAACGACCATAACACTGAAGAGTGCAGATCTCTCAAGGATGAGATTGACGAGCTAATCAAGGGTGGAGCCCAAAGGCAGACGAGAAATTTTGGGCGTAATGTCAGTGCCGTCAGGCGTTGCCGTCAACATAGCAGGTCACCAGAAAGGCGAAGAGCTGGCCAATATGACTACAGACCTCGCCGTGAACAGAACCACAGAGAAAACTCCCCAAGAAACCGCAGGGTCCAAACCAGCCCAAACAATAGTGAAGGGCGTGCAAAGCGTGACGAGGATCCGGCTGTCATCAAGCACGAAATTATAAACATGATTGCAAGAGGACTAAGTGGCGGCGGAGAAACGGCGAACGCCCGGAAGAAGCATTTGAAACAATGTTTGGCGGTGTCTGGTAAAATCATCAACAAAGCAAAAGCCAATACTGACCACACCAGGCCTAAAATCGTCTGGGACAACAGCGATTTGGGCGACGTCCTACCCGGACATGATGACCCATTGGTCATCCAAGCAATAATAGCTAATTTTGGCGTTAACCGCGTGTTTGTTGACCATGGCAGCTCTGCCGACATTTTATTTTTACCTTGTTTCAAGGCATTAGGGTTTACGGTGAATGATTTAACTGTTGTTGTTGGTGAACTGTCAGGTTTCAATGCAACAGTAACCAAGCCCCTTGGCATGATTAATCAACGCTTGTCAATGGGAACGCCACCCACTTCCAGGTCTGCGGACATCTAGTTCCTAGTTCTTGACACCCCGTCAGCATACAACGCCATCCCCGGCAGAAGGATGTTTGCCGCATTCGAGGCGAGCGTGTCTCACCCACATTTGGCAATGAAGTTCATAGCAAGGGATAACAAAGTCGCAACGGTTAAAGGGGACCAAATGGTAGCACACAGTTGTTACAACATATCTTCGAAACCGGCGACCAGGGTTTCCTTCAAAGACCAACCTGCCCCCCGGTTGATAAAAACCCAGGTAATTGAAGAAAACCCTAGCAGTAATAATAAGGATCTTGATCAATGCTTTCTTGTAGAATTAGATGCAAGGGATGACCCCATGATGGAGCACTCCAGTCCTACGCCAGATGGAGCATTAGAGCATGTTGTCTTGGGCGATGCGGACCATCAGACAACCACCATCGGGGCGGTCGCCGATCCTGAAGTAAAAAGAAGGTTGATTGAATTGCTACGAAGTAATAGAGTTTTATTTGCCTGAAAACCGTCTAATATGTCAGGCATTGATCCTGAAGTGTGCTGCCATCAGTTGACTGTGGACCCCAAAGCAAAGCCCGTAGCACAGAAAAAGAGGAAGTTTGGCCCTGATCACCAGAAAGTGATCGATGAGGAAGTAAAGAGGCTCCATGACGCTGGCTTCATTAAAAAAGTTAAATACACAACTTGGCTTTCCAACCCAGTGTTGGTTTAAAATCCTAGCGGGGCGTGGAGGATGTGCGTGGACTATATCGACCTGAACAAGGTATGTCCTAAGGATGCATATCCCTTTCCAAGCATTGACCAGCTGGTTGATAATGCCTCAGGCTTCAAGATACTCTCATTCATGGATGCATACTCTAGCTATAATCAAATTTCGTTACTTGAAGAAGACCAAATCAAGACGGCGTTCATCACCCAGAACGCCAATTATTGCTATACTATGATGCCCTTCGG